TTACTGCCTTCTTTTCCTCTTTTTTTTTTTTTCCTAAACAACGATATACATTGCGCTGTGAGGTCAAATTGGTTCCATATTTAATCGGCTAAAATTATCCTCCTCAGAAAAAGACGTCATCAAATCTAATTCTTCATCAGTTTTAATCCCAGATAGATTCTGCTCTATCTTATAACGACAGTTTTTCGTTATTCTCAAACCATCTAGAAACCCCAGATTTGTTTTTTTACCAGTTCTCGTGGTTAAGCAGTTAAAAATTCCAAAGTCAATGAAGAATAAAAACAACATCTTACTGATAAAACCTGTAAGAAATGAATAAAGAGTAAATTTTAAAGTGACTCGCACTGAAAAAAATTTAGCAACAAGCAAGTTATCGACAAAAAGGTTTAGAAAATAACTTTAATCTAATGAAAAAAATGCTGAACAAATAATAAACGATATAAGCAGACAATTAGTATTAGCTACTTCTATGATTATTTCACCTTTTTTTTTTACTGTCTTCTACACGACGCTATATCAAAGTTTTAGTTTAAACACAAAAATACACTGCTCGGTTTGTGTGAAGACAATCTTAGAAAGCAGTTAAATTTGTTTTTTTTAGAAAAAAATTAAAAAATAAAGAGGAAAAGATACAACTAAAATATTTAACCTATTATTCAAAATAATTGATTAGGTTAGAAAAAGACACAAAAGCAAAAAATACACCTTTATCAAATATTATTTACAGAAGCAGTAATTCTTCAGTTCTTAAAACCTTCTTCTTTCAACAACCTAACTTTTTACAAGTAACTGCTTGGTAACTTTAATTGAGATAGTTAACACAAACGTTCTGTTCAAAATTCTGGCAATTAAAGTAGTATACTGTAACGCCTAGAAAACAAGACCTCAGTCAGACGTTAGTGACAAGTGATCTTGAGTTGTTGCCCTACGTAATATTTTTTTAAAAGTTTTTACGAAAATCCTGCACTACTATATTGGTACTTCTTAAAGTTTTAATGCAATTAAAATCTGATCAAAAATAAACAAATAGTTCTTAGCTACCTTTGAAAAACACTATTTAAAAAATTGCTGCAGCAAAGTTTTTCTAATCCACTTAGCTAAACCAAAGTGATTGTCTTTTCCATCAGTCATCGTTCTGTATCATCATTTACATTTATCTAAACTTACGGTTAGGCTTACGCCTAGTTTTATATTGATACTATTCACAAACAGTACATACACAACTTCAGGCGCAAGAAAGAAAAGAAAACTGTTTAAATAATTGCCTGCTGTAGCTGTGTAAAAAACCAGAAAAATTGAGGAAAAAAAGAATTAACGGCACAACTTATTAGCTGGGTAAAGAGCTGACTTAACCAGATATCAGGAACAGTTTCATCAACAACTTACTTACTTGTCTTCAACTTCATAACAGTTCTAGATTTCCTAAACTTTCTTACTAAACTGCATGCATTAAAGATATTTGAACATAAAAAAGACAAAACTATCGTTCTTTAGTACTTAGGTGTACCTTCAAGATTAAGCTTAGATTTATGGTCACAGCTAATCACTTAAGATCAGCGCTAAACCCAAGTTTAACTTGAGGTTAAAACTTAGCTTAGCGTTAGAATGAGAATTAAGATTAGGTTTAAATACATGCTCAAGACCAGGCCTAGACTCAAGGATATTTTCAACTATATGTTTAAGACTTATTGTAGACTTCAGCTTTGGCTTATTTGATAGCTGCGCTGAGGTTTCAATTTGAACTTGAGGTTAGCTGTGACATTAAGGTTAGGTATAATAATAAGGTTAAGTTTACAATTAGATTTAAGCTTGTGCTTAAAGTTTAGACTTTGTTCTTAACATTATTCTTAAACTTAACGTTAAGGTTGAACTTATTGTTATGTTTACGGATAGGTTGAGGCGTAAATAGATAGTGCTTATCAGAGGCTTTAAGCACTGGAAATAATGTGGTATCTGTTGAGATGATTTTTTGCGTTAATTGTGTGAGAAAAGTGAAAGCTTTGAACAGTTAGAAACATACAGCGTGTTTGCGACAGACATTTGAGATAGCAAATACACGATTTTGGATGTGTGTCATTGGTGGTTTAAGATATGTTCTTTTTTTGTCGTATTTAACTTTAGTAGTTAGTTTACTGTCAGAATGAGAATTAAGGTTAGGTTTAAATACATAAATCTCTGCTTCAGAAGTTTTCCTACTTTTCCTCACGCATTAAAAACTATTTGAAAGTGAAAAAAGAGAGGCAATACCAGTATTTTTATCTTTTTCCTGAATTGTTGTACAAATAGATTCTACAAAACTTCAAAGCGAATTTTATGCTTTATTCAGGCTTTAATTTCTGCCACATATATCGAAGAACTAAAATAAAAAATTTATTTTTAGTTTTACAACTTAAAAAATTTTTTAAAAAAATACTTTTTTTCAGGGAGAGAGAGGGTTACTCCTAGAAGTTAACAACTAAAGCCTGTTTTCTGTATCACATTATTCTGCTTTTTTTTGACAAACTCTAGGAAAGTGCAAAAAAAATTCTGGTTTTAGCGGTACAAAGTTTTAGAGCACTATATTAAAGCTTTTACAGTTTATACTTGCTTAACACTGTTCATCTTTCCTCCGCCTCCCAGTTTTTCCTCTCTTCTCGAAAAAACTGTCTAAAACCAGAAATTTAAGTTGCAGTTTTCAGAACAGGTACAAAACCAACATTAATACAGTAAAAAAAAAAAATTTTTTTTTATTTTCAGAAACAATTTTTTTTTTGTCACTGTATTAATGTTGGTTTTTGCACCACTAGGTCATTAATATAAATGTTTAAAGTATTATAAAATTTGTCTGCAAAATGACATCGATCTGCAAATAACTTCCAAAATGATACTAAATAAGAAACCATCTATAGCAGTTGGTTTTGACGATGCCACAGAAGCGAAGAAATGCCACAAAAAAAAAAAAAATAAAATAAATAACTGCAGTTAGGATGAATGAAAAGCCGAGTGAAGAAGAGTCAGATAAAGCTGCCAATCGACTTTTCTTAGCCGATAACAGTAAAATAAAGTTGCTGAAACTAAAGAAATCTGTCTCCGAAAACAGAATTGTAAGATTGGCAAAACGCTTAGCAAAGTAGGCCAATATTTTTGCTGATGATGTTTGAGTGTTGACCATCATTGTCATCATCAGTTGGCTGAAGAACAAACAGCTGATTGACCCAAAATAAAAATTCCTGAAGTTTTTTTTTTCAGTTTTTTAGTGATTTTTGTCTGCTGATCACCAACCAATTTACAAAAAACGTCTCAAAATTATGATTGATTAGCAGAAAAAGTTAAGTGTACTCAAGCTTTCCATTTTTTTTTTCTTTGCATTATAACAGTTTTCCTTGTTTTTGTTTCTTTCATTTTTTTTGCAGCAGTATAACACAAAGCACACTTTTACAACAAATTTTTGATATATTCAAAAAAAAATTCTAGGTCAATAAATTGTTGATATTGAAAAAAAATTCTTAAGAATTGTACGACGTTTCCGACTTCTGTTGCAAAAATTTTTTTTTTTTTTTATTAACCGCTGATATAATTCCAAAAAGACTTTGATAAATAAACAGCAAGAAAAAAAAAAACAGAAAAAAAAAAAGACGATACAAAATTTGAAAAGAAGAAAGGTGAAAAAGAAAGACTAATCTTTTTAAATTTTTTTTGGAACCAAACTTAATTTTTGGTTGTTTTTTCTTTTTTTTCTTATTGTTTGCTGTTCAAAAACTGTTTTTTTTTAAATATTACTACAGCGATAATATGACAAACTGTATGTTACATTAAAACAAATTTAACAGTTGTTACACCAAAAACAAAAAAAAAAA